TGAATAAAACCATGAGTTGGTTGTTGGAAGGATTCATTTTGTTGTTAAAGAATGTCTGTGTATTTGTCACAATATGGTTTAAGCGAAAGCAATAAATATGCCTAAATGGCACATGTTAAATGGAGAATAAAGGTTTTCTGTTTTAGGTACTAACAGATGATGTGTTAAGTCTCCATATCAAACTTGTCTGTTTTTAGAAACGTTTACCTGTAAGCAGGAAGAGAGGTTTGAGTGCAAGGCTGGAGACGCTTTTGGGAAACAGCGGAGATTCCCCCACCCATTATTCTGGGACTTTAAGGTAACTGCTTTAGCCAGACCTCTCAGGTAGGACAAAAATGTACAAGACCTTCCTGCTTACTACTTTTAGATTGAAAATTATCTGTTGTTAGGTTTAAGGATCTGTTTCATTTTTGCAGCTCAACCTGGTTGGAGAGAAAGATGACACTCCAGTGCACTTCTGTGACAAATGTGGCCTGCCCATAAAGATATATGGACGAATGGTAAGAAAGATCTAGGGGGTTGATTGGATGGTTGATTGGATATTTATAGATATTCCTACTATTATAATTAAATGTCCTGGCTCATCTCAGACTCCTGGAGCTGACAACACAGAAGTTGCATTTCCTCTCATTGTTGTCTGCAATTGTAATTTCACATCAAATTAATATATGCATAATAATTAAAATATTTCTTTTGCCAAGTTATTATAATTTATTTTATCAAGACCTTTATTTAGGATTTGTTCTTATGAATGCCACAATGTTCCAGCTTCATTAAACTTCATTAAACCTATGATTTTCCATAAACTCCTGATCATATTACTGATCCAGATTACTTCAATCAGAGAATTGTCTCAAATAAATAAGCATTCCTTTTTATTTGTATTTTTAATAATGTTAATCCAGCACAATTACCACAAATCAGAGGTGGCACTGACTTATAGGGTATGGATGCAAACTGATATATAGACCATGACATTTAAATGTTTTTGCAATGTGGTTTCTCTGTAATCTTTAAACAGATTCCCTGTAAACACGTGTTCTGCTATGACTGTGCAGTTCTCTATGAGAAGAAAAGTGATAAGACCTGTCCAGGGTAAGTTCATTCACACATCCCAAACTAAATCCACTGTTTAGTTTTCTAAACAAGCTTGCTGCCATTGACAGTTTGTGTGTTGGAGGAGTCCTTGTGTCTAGGGCTTCATGGTGATGCCTAAAATAATAATCACGGATATTTACCTCGATATTTAAATCTAGATTATTTATGACGATTATTCAGCTAATTTGCATTATAACATTAATATTTGCTTTTACATTATAAGGCCTATATTCCCTCAAATGTATAAATCATAGATATGTGAGAAAATGGACTCATTATAAGAAAATTACCACCTCATTACTAGTTAAGCTAATAGCTTCACTGTTTGTGGTGGCACTACTACCAGACTGATTAATTCATTTTTATCTCATCAACATCACAGTCGATTAAAAAATGTCATAATCAATTAAAATGTAATTATATAATTGTTTCTTTCATGGCTCTTCATTTCTTTGCCAAACATTGCTAATATGATCATATATTTTCTCCTGTTGGGTTTATGCCTATATGCTTTTATATTGCTGATTAGGGAGTTTTGTGTTAAAATATTGCAAAATATGAGTAAGGTTAAGTATAAGCTTTATGAACTGCATGATTGTGCTGCTTCCACTTCCTATACTAAATTATAAGTTCAGTTTGTCCCTGTATAGCTGCACTGAGCCAGTCCAGCGCATCGAGCAGTGCCAACGGGGATCCCTCTACATGTGCAGCATCGTGCAGGGTTGCAAGCGCACCTACCTCTCTCAGCGGGACCTACAGGCCCACATCAACCACCGGCACATGAGAGCGGGCAAACCTGGAGCCTCACGGGCCGAGCCTACTCACCCAACCCCAGCTCCGACCTTGACTTCAGACCCACCAGACCGTTTCCGCCTGCCCCCACCCCCTCACCTGCCCAAGTCCCATCCCCTGATCCCACCGCCTCTGCAGGGTCACGACCCCTATGGCCAGCCGCCCCCTGCATCGCCCTCTCCCTCTGACCTAGGGCCCTCGTCCCGAGCCCTGCCACCAGAGACATTCCGCATAGCCACTGTGACCACGCGCAAACACAGCAACCTCATCACTGTGCCCATCCAGGATGACTCGGGCAACTCGATTCCCTCTCCACGTGAGCCCCTCCCGCAGACTCCCCCAGGTCTGCCCCCTCATCACCACCCAGGCCAGGCTGTGGTGTCCCACCCTCACCATATCATGCCACCACCTCAGCAGCAACATTATGGGCCTCCACCACCACCCCCACTCAGCCACCCCATGCAGGGCACAGGGGCTCCTCACATGGTCTACAGCCAGGCACCTCCAATGTCCACTGCACCACCTCCCATCACCCCCCCACCTGGACATATCATAAACCAGATGCCCCCGTTCCTGAACCACCCACTGTCCGCTGCTCTCCCTCAGCACAGCGCCCCACCTGTTAGTGCCCCACCACCTCACCACTTTAACCCTAACTCTCTGCCCCAGGACCAGGGCACCCTGAGTCCGCCCTTCAACCAGCCAGGAGCCCTGAGCCCAGGCTTGTGGCCTGCACAGCGTGTCCCTCACCCTCCTCGCATGCAGGGGCCTCCACAGGGCCAGATGCCTGGACCACATCACCCAGAACAGGCCCGATATAGACCATACTACCAATAGCGCCTGGCCAGCATCCATTATATCAGACAGTTTGAACATTAACAAAATCATCAAGAATTGAAGTAATTGAAGTTAACTGGTTGAACTGTGCATACAGTCTGTGATGATGACATGATTCATGTGATGTTTTGTACTCTTGTTAGGTATTTAATGGTTTAACTGATCTGGAATCAAGTATGTAGTTGTGGCTGAAAAAATAGAAGCAATGAAGCAGTGCAGTCAGAAGCCATTTTTACATCTTTGTTGAACACTTTTCACAACACTTTAATCTTGTACCCACTGACTGCAATAAATGACACAAACAGATGAAATGCTTCCTTTTTCTCATGCATCTTATTGTTGTTTTTATTTGCTAGCTAATCCAGTTGAGACATGTTAAAAACAAGTACAAAAAAGCAATAAAAATACTTTGAAATGTAACATTTGTACCTTCCCAAGCATGAACAATTTCTGGGAACAAAATAATGTTTGCTGTAACATTACATTTTACCTAATTGTGGTCACTCTGAGCCACCCTACTATATATTAACAGATATATGACCTCGTGATGAGATTAATGTATTTAAGTAGGAGGAATACCAATCTGTTGGTGGTCATGCTGTACAGAGCGGGGGACTACACATTAGCAGGCTCATTACTTGCGTGTATGTGACTTATCCACATGGGGGGGCTGTTCACATCATAATAGTGTGTCCTGGGCAACAGTGCACAGCTGTGGTCTCTTAAAGTGGGGTTCATGCAACACAGGATCCGTGGTAGAAATCACTATTAACCACTATTGAAGTTGTTATATAATTATTATTTATTTACTATAGTACTAAGCCTAATTGATTGATTGGTCACTTGAATTGGTCTAATCCCAATTTCAGTAATTACAAAAATATAAATGTCAACTGATGAAACCGTGAAACAATAATCCATAGTGTATACTGTCCTTTACATTTCTATGAATGACACATGAAATTATTATTATATTTTTCTTTTGGGATTTCTGAACGGATTGATTGGTAATAGAAATGCAGGAAATGTAAACTGCATAATAATTAAATTCCATAATAATTGGAATGTATGCAATCGCCAAGCGACCTTCATTATGAATCACTTTACTGATTCGACTCTTAGGAACGGTTCGCGTTTTGGTGCGTTTGATTCGTGCTATTCAGAACAGCTTCATTCAGAAATGTTGGCTATCTACCCTTACACATTTACAGCCTCCTACAAACACTTTGTTGCTAGAACTTACTTCGTGTTATTTATTATAAGTCACTTCCATTTATTCTATAGCTAGTAACTTATAGCACATTTAGCCTACAGTTCAAAGTTTAGCTTACTTATTAACATTCAAGTTTCAAGAGTTTATTGTCATATGTACAGGAAACAGTCTGTTACACAGTACAATGAAATTCTTACTCTGCGAATCCTCCCAGCAACCTCTGACATGATATAAACAGGACATAACCCAAAAACATAAATTACAAATAGTACACTATATGGACAAAAGTTTGTGGACACCTGACCATCACACCCATGTCATGTTTGTTGGACATATCATTCCAGATTTATTCCCCCTTTGCTTTTATAATAACATCCACTCTTCTGGGAAGGCTTTCCACTAGACTTTGGAGCGTGGCTATGGGGATTTGTGCTAGTTCAGCCACAATCTCATTAGTGAGATCAGGCACTGATATTGGGCGAGGAGGCTTGGGGAGCAGTCTGCATTCCACTGCATCCCAAAGGTGCTCATTGGGGTTGAGGTCAGGGTTCTGTGCAGAACACTCAAGTTCTTCCACTCCAGCTCTGGCAAAGTATATCTTCATGGATCTGACTTTGTACACATGGGCATTGTCATGCTGGAACATGGTTGGGTTAGGCTCTACAGTTCCAGTGAAGGGAAATCATAATGCTACCTCATACAAAAACATTCTAGACTATTGTATGATTGTATGTTTCCAACTTTGTGGCAACAGTTTGGGGAAGAACCACATAGGAATGTAATGGTCATGTGTCCACAAACACACACACACATATATATATATATATCTATATCTATCCCCATCCTCTGTACTGCTTATCCTACACAGGGTTGTGGGGAGCCTGGAGCCTATTCCAGGGGACTCAGAGCACAAGGCAGGGGACTCCACAGGGCACAATCACACTCACACACAATTCAGAACTGCCAGTCAGCCTACAACATATGTCTTTGGACTGGGGGAGGAAACCAGAGTACCCAGAGGAAACCTACAAAGCACAGAGAGAACATGCAAACTCCAAACACACACAGGCAGGTTTCAAACCTCCAACCCAGGAGGTACAAGGTGATAGTTCTAACCACTAAGCCACTGTGCCACTAATGTGTGTGTGTGTGTGTGTGTGTGTGTGTGTGTGTGTGTGTACATACATACATATATACATACATACATACATGTATGTATGTATGTATACACACACACACACACACACACACACACACACACATATATATATATATATATATATATATATATATATATATATATATATATATATATATATATATATATATATATATATA